GGGGCTGACAAAAGGGTGTGTGTGTGTGTTGGGTGAGGGAGTAATGGAACTACAATTGTGTGGCGAATGTAGAGAATGCCATAAATGATTTGCAATTCAATCAACAGTAAAATGTATAGGCTTTATCGCGCCCAACACATGCCTGACTCCGAACGCCAACTGCCAATCGGCCTCCATTTGACTATCGTCAGCTCCTCCTCTCCTCCCCTTCACACGAGTCCCAATGAGCCCAGGCTACCGGCAACCGACTCGTCGGATCAGATCATGTTTGGATCATGTTCGAGCAGCGATTCCACTTGGTCAACTCAACGCATAACGTTCACATTCACTTTGGGCAAGCTTGACTCGAAGCCTCTGCGTCAACTTAACGAAAGGGACAGTTTCGAAAAATGTTTTTCTTATCTATTTTGACATAAAGTGGCATTTCGAAAGAAAAAAAATGTGTGAAATCGTCTCATCTGAAGGTGAAGACTGTTGGATTGTACGACTTTTCATGTCATAAAACAGTCTTCACTCCGCGGTAACTAGGCTTGGTACCAAATTCTTTCAACTAACCCTTCCTTTGAAAGGAAAAGAGATCTTTACAGCCGAAAGTCATTCCAACACAAAGTCAAAAAAACCAGTCTACTCACAAACGAAAACATAATTCTACTCATATAGATAGATAGATAGATAGATAGATAGATAAATAGATAGATAGATAGATAGAGAATGTTCCAGTAATATCTGTGCACGCGTGTGTAGGTGTGTGAATGTGTAGGTGATGATAAACATTTACGGTAATTACAAAAAAGCCCGTTTGCAACCGAAATTAGGGTGATCTGGTCAACCTGAACGTTGTAACAACATCAAACGACTACAGGACAACAGGAATCAGTCGTTGTCTTCCCATACAGCCGATCTACAGACACACACACAGACACACAGACACACACACGAGAAAACAGTCGGAAACGGGCAATCGGGCCCCTGTTGCGACGTGTCTCTGGTACTAGAGACACAAATGGCAATGATGCAGCCGTAGAGGGTCACAATTATGGCGAAAAGTCACCCTCGAAAGTCAAAGATCAGACTTGATTTTCCCATTTATTGGACCGTTTTCTCGTCAAGCCCATCATTTTGAGAGACCTTTAGCCCATCTACAATATTGTCCATTGCTTAAACCAGACGACTTTGGTGTTTCTCGTCTGTCCCGTCGGAGAGGATAGGCCGATGAATCCCTAAAAAGTGTACCTGAAATTTGTCATGTTAATTATAAACAAAATGGAATTTGGTAATGATTGAAGTAGTCCCGAAATGGATCAGATCTCAAACGAGGTTCCGAAATAATTGCCGGTTCCGATTCGATATTAAGTCGAAGATGGTTTGACCTCATCCGATCAACCTGATCGTGCGACAGCAATACCTCGTGGAAGGTTTCCAGTCGCGTGTCATGATAAGTTTCAGCATTGAACTTGACACTTGGTACATTTTCCTGTTATTGGTTGGCATCTTCCAATAAATATACACAACTTTGAAACATACTCACACGAAACATAAATAGCGCCAGAGAGTGTAATGACAAATTGATGTTTATCGCCAATTTACTGACGTGATTAGGTTTCTAACTTCTTTGTGGCTTTGAGACAATCTGGACGGGGTCGAATCAGGGTCAAATCGGGAAGAAATTATCTCAAGTAGCATCGTAAGGTCTCATCAGTTCATTGTGGGAACCTTCTTTAGACCCATCAGATCTTCCATCACTGTGAGCCATCTGAGCAGATTAAGTATGTATTCAATAATTGGTCTCATTACAAAGTGATAAAATTAAGTGTTAACTACAGTATTTAGCCTATGTCACTTATTCTGATTAATTGATTAATAATGGAGTAATCCGACGATCGAAGATATTACTTACTTTCTTTTAAGTAGGTCTTTATGCAGCCACTATTCAAAATCTACCAACGAAAATGTGTATAACACTTTTTTGCTGCAGCTTCAATGGCTTTATTTGATAATTTGTCTCATTGCAAATTGATAAAATTAAGTTTCAACTACCGTAATTAGCCTATGTCACTTAAGCTGATTAAA